TAACTGTGTATTTCTTAGAAAGCAGATAAAATGGCACCCTGGGTTTAAATTAATGTTTTAGTGATAATGCTGTATATCTCTTCTATTAAGAAATGGTAGGAATAAAGTTGGTTTAAAGAAAGTAGATGACTTACTGTAAGGAACATATGACTTCTGAGTGGTATAGGACTTAGCTCCTATCAAAGATAGCTTCCTCCTTTTTATGATTGATGAAGAATCACTTTTACCTGATTTGCAGAAGAAAGCTTGGACACAAAGAATCAGAATGGCCAACTCAAACTAATTAATTGCAGAAGATATGATTCTGTAATTTCTGGAATTCCTTTACTGTATTTGTCACTGTGAATGTGACTCCACAGAAAATTAGAAGGATCTTTGAGTGAAAGCAATGTAACTTTTCTATTTATAGATACATAGAATTTCAATATTAACTTGACAGACCAGAACATTTTAGTTCCTAGCAAATAGGCAAACTATGCTGGCTGTCCAAAGATCGCTGAGCAAATATCCTTTCTAAGAAGTCGCCTCCTCCCTTATTCTGAGAGTGGAACTACTTCTGGGAATATGCTAGATAAGATAAATAACATGTTACAAACAGTGTTTAATCTTTGGATCCATGTTCACTGTTTCACAGCTAACATTTGGTGCTTATTTAAGGCATTCTTTAACATATATAGCGCAGGATTTATTTAGGTCACTGTAGATAGGTGCTTTCTTTCACAGTCTTTGTCATAGGAAAAAAAGTCATGTATTTTGACATTAGGTCTAGGTTTGAATTCTACTATCATAAGTTACCTGACCTTAGTTTCCTTATTTATAGAATGAGGGTGTTGTTCAGGTTTATTGATAATTATAGGCCTGCTATAAAATAAATTGTCAAACTATTCTTTCCTCTGATTTATCATTTTGTTCACTGCACTTACATAGAAAAAACCAGAGACTAAATAGTAAAACTGTGTCCACTTGGAGAAATACATTTGCACTGCTCTTTTATTGTTTCTGTTCTTAATTTAGACAGGTAACTAACTATTCCATACCAGTCTGCTTTATTATAGATAAAGCATTTGAAAGAGTGAAATCAAGTTAGATGAACTTGTCTTCACTGATTTACCTTGTAAAGTTCAGGTTCTTTCTGCCCTCTTCCCTTCTCAGTGAAAACTACAAGTTCTTGATCATGACCACTTGCTAAAGAATAAGGACATCTGGGAAGAAAAGCAGCTGCTAGTAGCCAGCTGGGGTGAATTAGAATGACATGAAAAGCCACACTAACCTATTGCAGCATGGTTACTTTTAAGTGACTCCTGCTTTTTCTGTGACTGGAACTATGATCAGCATTTTTGGGACACTAAATTCAGGGCTAAGCATGTAGCTCAGTAATATTTACCTTTCCACAGTCCTATATTTCTGTTCATTGCCTCTGTCTTTGAACACTAATCAAAAATTTTTCCCCTAAAAGACTTTGTCCATAATTGAAAATTATCCTTTGGCTTTATTTTGCACTTCTAGTTTATGATAATAACATAAGCAAGGAGGTTCTGAGTTCTTCATTTTCTGACAATAATTATGGCACTTGGTTTAAATGGACTTCAGTTTAAGTGTGTGCGTGCGTGCGTGCGTACCACCCCCTATAATCTAAAACACATGGTTTATTCTTACATTGCATTTATTCAGACACTACATTTAAGGGAACCTAATTGTACAATAGGTAGATAAACTATATGAACAGTTGCGGGGGGAAAAAAGACAGCTCCTCAATTTGAAACTGATTAAACATCAAAATATGATATGGTAGATGTAGTAACAAAAAAGAAATCAAAGTTTAAATCAACATTAGGTAAAGAAAAGTTGAAGGGAGAAATAGCTTCATGGATCAGTCATAATTTTAAGGAAGGTGAATCTCTGGGCTGAACACCACAGAAAACATTACCTTCTTTGGAACTGTAATCTGGCTGTTTAAATGGTGGTTCCCAAAACCTAAGTTTCTATCAGAATGACCCAGAGGAATTAAGATATATTAACTGTCCTCATTCCAGGAGTATCTAATTCAGTAGTTTAGTGCAGACCCAGATATGTCCATTTCTAGCAAGTTCCCAGGTAGTGTTGCTGCATCTGGTTAAAAGAAACTTCACTTTGAAAACTAGTTTATCTGAATTCAAAGAATTTTAATGGCTTCCTAATATAAGCCATTAGTTGTTTGAAATCACATTACTGTCATCTCTAATTACTGTCAGAATGCATTTGAGCTCTTACGTGTCAGACACTGTTTACTTCTCTAGATAATGGAACTTCCCTCAATAGGCTTAATCTAATAGAATCAACCATACATAGTAGTATTAGATTGTAAAAAAAAAAAAGAAAAGAAAAAATCACTTAACTACCTTGCATTGATCATTCAGTGTGCCAGGAACTATGCCAGATAGTATTTAAACTCATTTAATCCCCAGAGGATTAGGACACAAAATGCTTGTTTGCGGTGGGAAAATAATAATAATAATAATAAGGTCTATAAACTAATTTCCCAGAATTCACAGTGAGTATATTGAAGAGCTAAAATTTGCTATAGTGCTGTAATACCTTCTACACTATTTAAAATTAAAAGTATGTGTATTGCGGGACCAGAGTGGGGATAGAATAATTGACTTTACTATAGGACAGCAAAAGATAATAACCACAAAAGAGATGGCCCTGAGCCTCATAAAGGACAAGCAAACGCCACATGAATTGAAAGTACAGATATCTCCACTTGGGGGAGCAGTTTCTGCAAAGTCAAGGGAACCTGGAAAAACATTTGTGACAGATTACAAATATTACGTAAGGCAAAAATACATTTTTTTCAAAAAGGATAAGAAACCATCTATGGCAAAAGTCACAGTCATGAAGAATAAACAACACTGGGGAGCCAGAGGCCAGCCCTGGTGATCCATAGTTTCAGGCCAGCCAGGGTTACATCTTGATACCCTGTATTAAAAAAAAAAAAAAAAATAGAATTAGGGTTTTGATTGGGGTTTTGTTTTTGTTTATTCTTTCTCCTGTCAATTTTCTTTCACTGTAAGCCAGTGGTTCTCAAAACAGGGTCAAGCAGCAAAATCAGCATTTTCTGGGCACTTGTTAGAAATCCCATTTAGAGCCGAGCAATCTGTTCATACTAGATAGACCTCCAGATGATGAGTACATACTAGTTTGAGAATATTATAATTGGTATTGAATTGTTGGATATTACTAAAATAATAGTAATTGTATCTATGACTGATTTAATTCTGTTAGAGTATTATGCACAACAGAATTGAAATGTTAATACCTAATGGAATACTTTTCTTCAACATGATCCTTCTATACCTTATAAATCCATATCTTCTGTTGCTGCAAAAAGATCAGTATCAGCAAAATTGTTAGGTCAACAGTCAAAGTGTAGCATGCTCATTAGTCGTTAGTTGCAGTAATGACTTGTAAACTTACTAATTTTAATTAACAAGAAAAGGAAGTAAAAAACTCATTTCATAATTTTTAAACTGTGGAATGTATTATAGTTGATACCTTAAAGCACTCTATTTAAACCACATGTGTCAAAGGAGTAGGATGTATTCACACCATGAAATGACTTAAAAGTAACTCTTTCTTGGTAAAAGTAATAACACAGAAACTAAACTAGAATTCTCAAGCAAGTACTAGTCTAAATGCCTGTCATTGTCTTTATTTGTAGTGATTTTATTATTTTTTTAACACTAAAACCTTACAGATTACATAGTTGGTCATTAATTTAGTTATATGTAACCTTACTTTGCACATATCTCTCCAGAAACTGAAAGCCTAACTTATAGACAGTTTTGAGATCTTAAGTATACAGAGCCCTTTATCCTAGCAGCAGCAAAGAGTTAAAAGTACACTGTGACCAATATTGTTAGAGCTCAAATAGAGAGCATTTTCTGTGTGTTGGGTTAGGTGAGGCAAGTCCAGTGAAGCTTAGATACTGACCCCATTCATTTTACAGATGTGGAAACTATTAAATGAATGAGTAAGCGAGAAGCAGAACCTGCCATAATAGCCAGACCCTCATGGATTATAATCTAAAGGCACAACTACATGGAAAAGAGTGTTCCTAAGCCTCAGCTGGCATACTACTAACAGCCCATATAATTCAAAGTAAAGTAGTTTTTAGATACTGTAAATACCAAATTCTTCTCAGGTATAGTATATACTCTGTAAATAGTACTTAGTAACATTGTATTCAAAAATTATTTTTAAAAGACTGTTTTTGTGGTGATTCAAGGAAGTACTATATTTTCTTTTACAAGACTAGTTTAAAACAAAAACTTATTAAAATACCAACAAGAGTATATAGATTCTTGCTACTTTTACTACCTAAAAGATGGGTGAATATAAACCATGGAGAAAATTTATCTTCTGTGTCATTACATAAATGCCCAGGTAGTATTTGAACTTGTGATATATACTTTCTAGCTAGACAACTTTGAATTATTTTCAAGAGAAACACATGCTTTCTTAGGTGAATTTTGCCAGCAAATAACCTATAATCAAAGTACATGCATAGGTCTACCAGAATGTTGAGTTTCATTTTAACCAGCTCTTCTACAATCCTCTGAATTCTTTTTAGAAGCCCTTCTTAAACACTTAAAAACCAGATGTTAAAGTAGAAAATTGATAGAAAAAGTCATCATCTGAATTTTAATGCATTAAGACCACCAAAGACAAAACATATAATTAAAATTGGGAGTAATTTTAAAGTGGTATATATGTGCCATAGACAAATGATAAATTTTGGGACTGTAAAGGTTTTTAGAAGTCAGCCATGTACCAAATTCTCACGTAAAAAAAAGTTAAACCTCTGATTACTGAATTGCAGAAATATACTTGATAAGTTATTTTTAAATTGTCACATTTGATACTGGATAAAACACAAATGTCTTTTACATTATTTTAAGATTTAGAAGGATGGTTAACATTTTAAGGATAATTTAATGAAATATTCTAATTTTTTCCAGTGCATCTGGGGGCGGTGTTGTAGCCATTGACAACAAAATAGAACAAGCAATGGTAAGTAGGTTCACAGTTGTCCTTTCACTTCCCTCTTGGTCAGCCTGACTGTTTGGATCTTCTCAAGTCCAGATAACAGAAATGTAATTTTTTTTTAAGCCAAAACTTAACTTCTTTGATATCAAAATTTAGAAGCTGATAGAACACTGAAAATTTCTAGTTCACATGTACTAATTAATTAAATAGTCCTTCCATTTGATCACATTATTCTTTGTGTGTCACCATTGAAACGGGAGCACACATAATTCAGTACAGTATGTGTTCATCAGAAAAGCATCAGCCTTTGGTCCACTTAAAAGTGGGGTTTATGGGTCCTGGCTCTAAAATAGCCCTGGGACTAGTTTTTTTAGCAAGCAGCTTTCCATTGGAATATGATGCTCTGCTATCTATCCAGCATCTTAAAATGCTCATTCTAAGCTTTGGGAGGAAAGAGAATTTGCTATACTAGTTGGAAAAGATAACTTTCCCCACCCAACTCTCATAGGCCCAGTCAAGATACAGTAGAAACATTAAAAGCATGAAGAGAAAATTGCTCTTAAAAACAAAAATATAAAAACTATTTAGTGTTTATAAGCCACCCAGACAGTCTAGAACTAAGTAGCTCCTTGTTTCTCATAACTCTTTTAACATTCCAAATTTTGTTTTTCACAGGATCTGGTGAAAAGCCATTTGATGTATGCAGTAAGAGAAGAAGTGGAAGTTCTAAAGGAGCAAATAAAAGAATTAGTGGAAAGAAACTCTTTACTTGAACGAGAAAATGCACTGTTAAAATCTCTTTCAAACAATGATCAGTTGTCCCAACTCCCAGCCCAACAGGCCAATCCTGGTAGCACTTCTCAACAACAAGCAATGATAGCACAGCCTCCTCAGCCAACGCAACCTCCACAGCAGCCGAATGTTTCCTCAGCATAAAGCTTTCTTAAGCCTCATTAAGGAAAAAAACGAAAGCAATCTTTCCTTGTGTGCCACTGGTGTTCTTTCCACTTTATAGAAAGCAAGTAGCCATGCTTCGGCTGTGTGCTTGGCCTTTTCAGTATTAGACAATCGTTCTACAGGAGCTTTCCCTCTCTAAAGATGTCATGCAGCACTGTTGATGTCCACTTCTATGTCATCAGTACATGAGGAGAATAATAGACGGGGTTTATTAAAGCAAGCAGAGTCTACATTCTACATGTGCGCATGAGTGGGATCTTTAAAAGTTTTGGTGGCTCTCCCATGTTTCTTATCACCCATGGATTTACCTTGAGCCTTCCTGTCACATTATAAATAACAGTTCATCTAAAGAGCCACTTTTCTTTCAATATCAATAACATTTGCCTACGTAAGTTTTCATTTATTTTGTGTTTTATTTATTACAGGGCTGCTATTTTCATAATGTACATGAACAATGTCACAGAACTTTTTTAATTTTTTTGAATAATTATAAGTATCAGTAAAGGAATTGAAAGACAGGATTACATTTAATAAATAAAATGTTTAGGCAATAATTGAACAAAAGAATCCTGGCACATTTCTAACACTAATGGCAATTTACCGTTGGTATTTATTTTCAATAGTAAAGATCCAGCTTGAATGTAAATTTTGTATAGTGTAAGTATGAAAAACACAGTGCACCTGTACAGGTAGTCACCAGTTATTGTGATATAATAAATAATTGGGCTATTTTCATGAAGAAAACTTTGTTCATTTGTTTCTACTTTCTAATAGAAATTGCCATGATTCCTCTGCTTTTCAACATTTCGTATGACTTTTTTTTCTTTTCTTTTTTTCTTTCTTTTTTTTTTTTTTTTTTTTTTTTTTGGGTGGGAATAAAAAAAAAAGCTGTGAAATTGTTCAACCTACTTTGTAACCAAAGAAGCAAAGCTGTGTAATGGAGTTTTGTTTTGTTTTATAATGCACATTCTTTATGTATTTTTATTTAGTGTTTTCTTGGTCACAATTTTCTTTGCTGTCTAGCATGATCTGCATGGCCTGTAATCTTTGAACCACTTTCGTACCTCATGTTTTTATCCAGCACTCTTGTTGTACTGTGTACTAGTCTGTGAACAATGTCAATAAAAAGAACGAACAGGTCGTATGGTGGAGCTGAGCTAGTGTACAATGCACCAGTTGTACAAAACAAAAATGAAGTGAGCCATCTTTTGTTCATTTAAAATGGTGTTTTGAATTTCATATGCAGAAAACGTTTTGTTACATTGCAAATTTTAATGTATTTAATAAATGCAACATGCAGATTAAGTGCAGTGTATACTGAGTATTTAAATTAAAATGTACATTTCATAAATACAGTTTCAAGAGAAAGCATCATTTTGTGTATACTAACACATTAAGTGTATGTCAGAAATTGATGTAAAAATATATATTTTAACACATTTTCTGAAATTAAACTACAGTTTTGTTCAAATATTTGGCTCTATATGTGTTCAGAATTTGACTAGATTTGTATTTTCACGGTTTAAAATAATTCCTTAAGTAAAAGCCCATGATGCTATTAATGACAATGATAGTTCTTAAATTTTCAAAGTAAAATAATTTAAAGAACCCAAAAATGGTGAGCAATATTTGTACTCAATATTCATATTATGTTAATATAAATAGGAAATCCTTGTCTACCAAACTTTTACTTGAATTCAGAAAGGTGCCTGTAGAAATGAACGTGTCCTGTATTGGTAGCCCACTAGCTCATTCAGTCTTAATGAGAAATGGTGGTTAGCTCTTCATCTTAGAAGAGGTTAAGTGTTCTTTATCTATTTGAATCATTCTAGCCTCAAACAAAAGTCAAAATTGAAACATACATGAGATTACCAAATATTTTATATTCTAGTTGTGCTAAGGGAAATAATGCTCAGCAAAATTTTATGATAATTAGTAACATTAGAATTACTTAAGAACTAGATAAGTATGTAGACTTGAGTATGTAATAACACTAAGGATGCAGAGTGAGATTCTAATAGAGCCACTGTGGGCAAGATAGGGTGTGAAACTACTATTGTATGTGAACCTGAAGATTCTCTTGGTGCCCTTCCAGTGCTAATAGTATGGTACTTCATGCAAAGAGAAACTAACACGAAAAGGGTTGCAGGAGGAGACAGTTAAATGCAGACTGCTGCCCAAAAATGCACAAATCTTCCATTTGATGCCTGTCACTGAAAACAAAATTAGTGTGATTTTTGTGAAGATAATGAATTTTTATTCTAGGGATAGAAAAACATAAGCAAAATGTAATAGCAGTCACCAAGGAAATGATTATTTTATGGTTTAAAATGGTAACAGCAATTGCCACTACTCCTTTAAAGGGGGGGGGGGAGTCTTAGAAAATGGTTAACAAAAAAATAAAATTTGTTCCAAAAAGATTAACCTCTAATGAACTAAAAAGTGTAAATTATCTCAGTTATTACAGCTTTTAAATAGCAGAAGTTAATTAATATAGTAAGATGGGTTTTCCTGTGTTCTCCAGGATGAAATTTGGCAGTGTGTATCAAGTGCTTTAAATATTAATAAACTAGCTCAGTGGCATGATGCCTAAGGTGCAGTGTTCAAAAAATACAAGTGTGTGCCTGTCCTGTGTGTCCACTTCTTCCCTTAGACCTCAAAAGGTTTATTGATTACCTATTCTGTCCCTATTTAAAGTTGTCCAATGAAGTCTGCATCTAAATCTGTTCCCATTTCATTGAGGGTCATTGAACTCCAGAGTCAGGAACAAAGAAAGGTGAGCAAGGTGGTGTGCTTTTGTTGGAAAATAATTGAGTTTGAGTCATTTCTCCCTCATTGATTTATTTAGTATCTTCATTTGGATTGGATCTCTATTGAGGTTAGAGTCTCCAAATAAGTAGAATATCAACTAATTGAAATTCCATTTTTGGGACAAGTCTTAGAGGAATGCCATCCACCTTTAATTTTCTCAGTCTCAGCTGTTACTACATAAGCTTTATATTGGCTTAATTTTCTGATATGGTAGTGCATGTATAATTGGAACCTTACTTTGCCCAAAAGAAATTATTTTTAGGTAGTTGTAATGTAATCTTAAGGTGCATCCAAGAAAACAAAAAGTAGGGAGTTGGAGAATTAAATATTCAGCTTTTTTTTAACTGTTAGATGAAGCTGTTTGGCCCTGGTGACAGGTCCTTTATGATGGATGGATATGTTTAAATTTTCTTTCTGATTCTCTTGAAAGGGAATTTACAATTGAATTGAGGCTACATAAACTAACCAATACAATGAGACAAGGAATACAGTCAAGGAGGGAATGCATTGCTCAAAGTTTTCCTGAAAGGTGGCATCTGAGTCTTGAGGGTCACAAGGGGATAAGGGCATTCCAAACACAAGAAAAGCCTGCTCAAAGCTCTGAAGACAGAGCTCCTAAAGCACAGAATTTTATGGAAGAGAAACAACTGCTCCATCAATGTTGGTAGTTTGGCACTATTAACAGTGAGTCGCATGATGGCTAGTGGGATGTGCTCAGTTCAATTCAATGGTAGAGTGGAAACTGAAGACAAGTAATTTAGAAAAAGATAATCCAGAAAAGTGAGACAGCATTCCATGGGCAAATTGTGTGAAGCTTATTGAAGGGAAGTTGGGAATTCCTCTGCCACTTTTGACTATTCCACTCCCAGTATCAGCGCTTTGCTTTGTTTGTTCTCTTGTTTCTTTGAGGAAACAACACATTAGCCAATACTTGAAAGTTCCATCAGTCGTATGTCCGATAGCCATACATTTCTGCAAAATTAATGTCTTTGTTTCCAGTTGAAGGATTTGTAAGAATTTGACAGAAGAGTAAGGCAAATGGGAAATTTGGTCACTCTATGCTTCTGTAAATGCAGCCCAATAGTAACTGGGGTCACCATAATTCCACAGCCTCTTGCTCCCTGGAGAGATATAGTATGAATTCTGACTCCAGTGCAGATACTAACGTGTAAGGATACTTTTTCTGTTAGCTTTGCCTTTCATTCTCTAACATAGGTCAGACCCACAGCCTTCTCATCCATACTCTGTTGATGAAATAACAGACTTTCCCTCCCTCCCCTCAGCTTTAAGCCCTCTAATAATTCATGTTTTTACTTTCTAATGGTAATCACTTCAGGTGTTTATCTGCACCAGTTGGCAAACTGACATTCCAAGATCCATCCCTGTCTCGCGTTTCCATGCCAGGTTATGGATTTTTACCACCTAAATCTCTATCAATGCAAATCTTCCCTATATAAGTGAAGGGTTATACAAGTGTGCCCTTAGTAGGCTACCATTGGTCTGCCATGTTAATATGTAGAAATTGCTTTAAAAAAAAAAAAAAAAAAGTACTATAGAAAACAATGTAAAGTTCACAGACCTGCACTTTTCTTTCTATGTTTTAATGTATTTTTCAAAAAATTGGCAGACTTTTAGGATTGGTGATGGCAAGATATGCTGTTACTTCACACTGGCACAGTCCACTTGGACACTGAACCTGATCACATGATTAGATAATGAGTTAGCTTTAGTTTTCCATTTCTTACCAGGGGAACTGATAAAGTAGTTGTTTGCAATGTTTTCTGACTACCTAGTGTCATGGATCCAGAGTCCCTGTGGTTACAGTCTAGGACCTGCCCTCAGAAGCCATAATATCCCTCTGAAAGAAGGAAGGAAAGGAGGTATGCTAATTTTAGAAAAATGACGGAAGTTTAAGACAAGCCAAATAACACTCTTCAGCTTCTTCATAGTGAAATTGAGTTCACTTGTAGTTCCAACTGTTTGCATGCTTTTATTATTTCCATAAAAATAGGTGCAAAGTGCTCTTGCCCACTTTTGCAATCCAAAAGGTCTTCCAGGTCACAGTTTCTACTGTCATTGCACAAGCAATCAGCTCATCCATAGATAGATAAACCTAAAGAAGATGGCAGACAAGGAAGTTTCTCCTACACAAGGCATATGTGATACTAGGCCAGTGTCTAGTTCTAGCTCATGAGAAATCTGTCTTAAACACAAATACACTTGCTGAAGTTTTGGGGAATAATTTGGGCTTTTTTTTTTTAATCTTAGAAATGTTGGAAAGCAATTCAATTCTGTCTCAACTTAGGTGCTTATCTCTATACTGAATGTTTGAGAACAGATAGCTATTTAGGGCATGATCAGTGCCCCCCCCAAGAGCTCATTGTCCAATGAGAAAGTAGAAGCTGAGGTACCATGTTACTTATCCAAAACAAATAGTTTATAGATTTTGTGTCCTTTGTTAAATGGAAGGTTCTGTAAATCAGTAGTAATTTGCTGTGTCATGTGAAACCCTTTGCTGTTGCCAGGAAAACTAAGTCACCAAAAAGCTTTAGCAAAAATAATCCTGGAAGAGGAAACCAGGCAAAAGAAGACTTTGCACACACATACTGAGCCTGGGAGTTGCCCCTAAACAAAGAACTAATCTGAGAGAGACGTTTACACATTTTTAATACACTCAGTTTGTAGATAATAGATTTAAATCTAATGACTAGAATTTACATGTCATGAATTATATTGTCTCTTATCTCATAAGTAACATGCATTTTTGGCTGTCTTAACCAGCTGTCATTCAATGAATGAAGTTAATAACTCAGGTACCTGATGCCAAAAATAATAGAACTGAGAATTCAGAAATAAATACAAGGCTGTATGTTAAGTAAGTGGTAAGCCTTACATTTCAGATCAGGGGGAAAGAATGGCTTAGTCAATAGGTAGTATTGAGACCTTGGAGGCAGTAGGGGGAGGGGGGAATTTAGCTCTCTCACAAAAATTAAAAATTCCAACCACACTAGAAGTGAGTCTTCTGCTTTGGCAATTCAAAGCCTTGATAATAATGGAAGTGAATAGTTTTACAAATAGGTTATGAAGAACTGCTAAGCCTTGGCAAAGCAAAGCACACATGAAACATGCTATCTCAGGTCCAGTTGATAATTAGACACATAAGATTCAAGAGCTGACAAGTGTGGAAAAGCAGGAATCTGACATCATACAAGTTTGCATAGCTACTTTTAAAGGCAGCTGGGAAATTGGAATTTTAGATGCCCTGTGACCCCATGGTTCCAATTTTTAATATCTACCCTAAACACACACACATGTTCACAAGGCAGCTTATATAAGTATACTATTGGAAAATCAAAATCCACCAAGTTAAAGGAATATGTTTGATGCTACAACATATTAAGTGTCGATGAAAAAGAATGAAGAAATAGGAATGTGTGCTGACAGTAGATCTCTAGGATGCAATGTTAACTTTGTTAAGTCTGGGGGGGAAATACATTTTGGTTTTTAAAAAAAATGCCATACACAATATTGTATAGTGTACTTCTGCAAATATCTTTCTGTGTACAATATAAATATAGAGAGAAGGTTTTGGAAGAATACTAACCAAGCTGTTTACAGTAGTTTGGTGGTGTGTGTTAGCTTAAACTGTAAAATTTGATG